CACACACACACACAGAGGCAAAAACACCCATACATAAAACATAAAAATAGATTTTTTTTTTTTCCAAAAGAAAGTAGCAAGGGCCTATTTCGGTCCAGGGCAGTGACAGGAGGAAGCAGAGGATGGACAATGTGACCGAACTAGCAAGTATGCTGTCCCAGGGAAGCCTATGATTCTGTGCTGTTATTAAACACACACACACACATACACACACACACACACACACACACACAGTGATAAAAATCACATTTTATAAACTAAGAAAGAGACACGATTCCTTTTCCTTCCCTGAAATGCCTTTGCATCTGTTTGAAGGTGACTTTCCCATGTGTGCCCCAGCTGACCTCTGAGCTCATGGCCCTGTTCAATCAATCTTTTCTTTTCTTTTCTTTTTTTTATTCTAGGTCAATACCACATGGTCTTGATGACCGTGGCTCATACTGAGTCTTGAAATGAGGTGGTTTGTCCTACCCTCTGGATTTCTTGAGTTTGAGATGTGGGCTCTGCTAGGTCTTCCGTGGTCCTGCCTGGATTTTAGAACCAGATTGTCAGTTCTGAAAACAAGCGAAACCAAAAACCTACCAAACAAAACCCTTAGCACCACATGTCTGGGTTTTTGTTTGGGGCTGTGTTGAAAGCACAAATCAGTTTTGAAAGAGCCAGAATCTTAAAGGCATCTATCTAGTCTAGAAACCACGGACTGTGGCATGTCGGGGAGGTCTCTGGATCCCTCTCAGCACTGAGTGAGGACTCGCCGAGTCAGGCCAGGCCTGTCTTTCATCTCACAGGTTCTGGTGCTGTTGAAAGTAGATATATTTGTTATGGTTTGAGTGTGAAATGTCCCCTGCAGGCTTGAGTTATTGTGGGGCTATCGCTCATGGGTTCCGGGCGGTGACTGATCCTGAGGGCTCTCATTTTGATGGAGTCACAATTTCACAGAGGTTGGGAGGCAATGGGAACCGAAAGCAGGGTCTGGTTGGAGAGAGTTGGTTGTGGCAGCATGCCCTGACAGGGTCTGTCTGTCTGGCCCCGTCTTTGTTTTCTCTGGTTCCTGTCTGCCATTTGTGAGTACATCTGCTCTAGCCCATGCTCTTGCCATGATGCTCAGCCTCTCAACATGGGTGCTGACTGCATAGACCATCAGTAAAAAATCTTTCCTACTTTTAAATGATTGCTCTCTAGTAATTGTCACAAGACTGACACAGTGAACGTGTGTGCATGCACATTCCTGTGTGCTGTGTGTGCATGCGTGCAAGTATGTGTCTGTGCACTTGTATATGTGCACATGGAGGATAGAGGTTGATAGCAACAGCCTTCCTTACAACTGTCTGTTTTATTTATTTAGTATTTTGCTTTTTTAAAATTAATTTTTTTTTTGCTTTATTTTTTGAAGACAGTGTCTTGGCTCACTGAACCTAGACTAGAGCTAACCAATTGACTAGACTGGCTGGCCAGTGCACTGCAGGGACCAACCTGTCTCTATCCTCCAACCCCAACTACCCAGAGCTAGGGTTATAGACATGTCCCCCCATCCCCAGCTGGATGCTGGGGATTGGAACTCAGTTCTCATGCATATGCTGCAGACACTGGCCCACTGGGTCATTTCCTCATTTTTGATTGCTCATTGTTATTGCACAGATAACAGTTGATTTTTGTACATTGATACTGTATTTTAATACTCTAAACTCGTGTGTGTGTGTGTGTGTGTGTGTGTGTGTGTGTGTGTGTGTGTGTGTGTGTGTGTGTGTGTGTGTGTGTGTGTGTGTATGTGTGTGTGTGTGCCTTTTTTTCTAGATAGGGTGTTACTGTGTAGCCCTGGCTGTCCTGGAACTTGCTCTGTAGACCAGGTTAGCCTCAAACTCAGGCTAGCCTCTGCCTCTCAAATGCTGAGATTAAAGGTGTGGGCCACCACCACCTGGCAAATATATATCCTTAAAATTTTTAATTACATTAATTTGTACTGTGTGCTGTGGTGTATGTGTGGGGGTTGGAGGACAACTTTTGGGGTTTGATTTTCTGTCATGTAGGTACCAGGAATTGCATTCAGGCCATTAGGCTTGGTGACAAGTGCCTTAACTTGCCTAAGCCATCTGGCCAGCCCCGTGGTAAATATATTTTGACAAGTAGCGTTTACTTTATTATTTCCAAGCCAGGTGGGTTTTTTGTTTGTTGTTTTTTAAATTGTTTCATTCTTTTCTACTGACTGCCTAGGCCTCACTGTTCTGAGTGGAGGCAGTGAGGATATAAATCTTTGTCTTTCCCCCAGTTTTAGAGGGAAATCATTCAGTCTTACAGTGTTAAGCACTGACATCAGCTGAGGGTTTCATATTTTCTTCACTAATTTAAATGAGTTCTCATGTGCTCTTATTTACTGAGAATTTCTTCTTTTAATCAGGACTAGATATTGGATTTTGTCAAGATGCAATTTATGCATAGTGATGTTAGATGTGACAACTTGCTACAATTTAGAATCGCCTGGGAAGAGAGTCTCAATGAGGGATTAATGTTGGGTTTGCCTGTGGGCATGGCTGCCGGGTTAGCTTAACTAAGTTAATTGATATGGGAAGACACAGCCCACTCTAGGTGATACCATTCCCTAGGCAGTGTCCTGACTGTATGAATGGGGAAATGGACTGAGCATGTCAAGCAAGGAAGAGAGCATGCAAGCATTTGCTTCCCTGTTTTTGACTGTGGATGTGATAAGACTAGCTGTCTGAAGTTCCTGTCTAACTTCCTCATATGGTGGAAACTATTATCTGGAATTATAAGCTAAAATAAACCTCTTTTTCTCCTAAGTGGCTTCTGTCAGGGTGTTTTATCACAGCAACAGAAATGAAGCTAGAACATGTATCTATTGGTGAAATCATATTAGTATTGATTTTGAGCGGTGGAAAAAAGGCCATTTAATTCTTTAAAAATGCATGTTGTTGAAATCAACTTGTCAAAATTTCACTTTGGAGTTTCGTGTCTGTAGTCATGAGTGACAATGGCCTACTGTGTTCTTCTCCCATCTCCCAGGGACCATGGGGTACAGTACATGATGGCCGATGTCTTGGGAATAGATTTTGTCATTTTCAGCTATTGTGGATGAGAGGGAACCAATTCTGTCCCCTGTTATGGCTGGAAGGGGAGGTCCCTGGGACTCAATTTTGCTTAATTGAAATGTGCAGTTCTTGATCCCAGGCTCAGCAAGGAAAAGGAGAGAACAGAGAACCTCCTCGACCCCAGTCCACCCCAGAAGCCACTGTGCCACACGCAATAGGCCCCTTATTGTCCATCCCTTAGCATGTCACACCCTCTGTGAACTAGCACACGTGGGGACCTTGCTAACTAAAGCACACACCTCTGGCATGGTGTTCAGGCTTTCCTAATACAGGGCACCTCTCAGAAAGTCACACTGCCCACCAGGCCCAGGCAATACTTCCTCCCTGGTCTCTTTGGCAGCTATCAGTAAAATTGCATGTCTGATTTAGCGAGAAAACCTACAGGCTTATATCCAAACCTGGTGGTCAGCCTTCACTCTAGTTCACGTCCTTTAGAAGAAGCCGGCTCCTTGGCCCCTTTCCCTTCCCTTCTGTATTTCCTCCTCCACTATCCCTTCCTATGGAACTAACAGTTGCCAAGGGGTGCTATGTAACACACATCATGATGACAGAATGTCTTCTTATGTAGGGACAACTATTGAATCTGGAGAAGGGATGACATACATTGTGCCTATTATGAATGGCTATCCTTTGCAACTGTCGACCCTCAAGCTGGACGTAGCTGGACAAGACCTGACTTCGTACCTCCTGAAACTGCTTTCAGACAGTGGGAACTTGTTAGTGGGTGCAGGTAGGAAACAACTATTCTCAGATACACAAACCAGTGCTGTGTATAACATTCTCCATTTTCAATGCATGTGTGTATAGATGACCTGTGTGTGTGCATTCAGAGGCTGAAGGACAACCTCAGGTTTCAGCTACCCACCTCTTTTGAAACAGGTCTTCTATTGGCTTGGAGCTCTCCCATAGAATCATGTGAGATGATTCTATTACAGAGGAGAGTTGACAAGTACCCCATAAGCAGTAAGGGCCTTGGGTCTTTCATTAAGGGCTTAGACAGGATAATACTTGACCCCCTTTGTGCCCTCATCCTGGGCTATGTTTTTAGTTCATACAGTGTGCATGACAGCCATTCCCAATAGGCCATTGGCCTTCTGGTCTTAGACAAGGAGTGGAAGACTGAACCCTAGAGCCCTAAAAAATAGCATCAATTAGAAGGATGGTGAAAACTGATCAGGCCAGAGTCCTTGCATGTTCCTGGCTGCCCACTCTTAGCAAGATCCATGTGTTCATCATCCATCTGTCTTCCCAAATGCTGATGATTATACTCATCCTTGCAGATGAAGGAAGTGGAAGTTTAAAAAAGACAATAACAAAATAAAAAAGAAAAGAAACCACAAAAAGGAAAATAAAAAAGAATAATTAATTAGCCTAAGTATTAATTAACCAGTTAGTCAAATAAACGACAGAAGTAAGATGTGAACCAGAACTGTCTCACCAAAACCCAATCCAGGAAGGTGAAGGAGGGAAACACTGGGATGTAGCAGAGTTCCAGAAGCCAAGGACAGAGAAAGGAGCAGCGGATGGTACCATTTGCTGGAGGGAAGGAACAGAGGGGCCTCCAGGATCTGGAAGGAGGATGGAGGAGACATGGTCATGTTAGAGGCCATCCTGGGCTACATGAGACCCTGTTTCAGAAGAAGAAGAAAAAGAAAAAAGAGGAGGAAGAGGAGGAAGAGGAAGAGGAAGAGGAGGAGGAGGAGGAGTGGGGAACTGGAATAAAAGGAAGAGGGAGGAAGGGGGAGGGGAAGAAGAACAAGAACAAGAAGACAAGGAGGGAGGAGAAAAAGTGGAGAGGAAGAAGGAATAAGAGGAGAAATGAAATCAGGAGGGGAGGAGGAGTTAGAGAAGAAGGAAATGGAGGAGTTGGAAAAACTGGAGGAGATGGAGGAGGGGTTGGAAGAGGAAGGAGAGCTGAAGGAGGAAGAAGTAGAGGAGGAGGGGTTGGAGGAGGGGATAGAGGAAATGAGTGAGTTGAAAGAGGAGATCCATTAAAGCATGTTATGCAAGCATGAGTGCCTGAGTTCAGGTCCTTGGCATAACCCATGTCAAAGCCAAGTGCGGTGGAGGGAGTGGTGAGAACAGGTGGATCCCTAGGAAATCATTGGTCAGCCATCCTAGCCAATCAGCTGGAGGAAAAGGAGATGGAGAAGGCTGATTCAAGTGAAAGTGGCAGTCTTCAGGCTGAAAAGAGCAGATGAGACCTGTGGTTGGAAGGCTTCTCAAGTCTTGCCTGCCAGCCCTGTAGCCCTGCAGCCTGCTTATAAAATAATCACTCAGAAGCTTATATTAATTATAACTGTTCAGCCATTAGCTCAGGCTTATTACTGTCTAGCTCTTACACTTAAATTAACCTATAATTCTTATTTATGTTTAGCCACATGGCTTGGTACCTTATCTCAGTTCTGCCTTGTCATCTTGCTTCCTGTGTCTGACTGGCACAACTCCTGACTCCACTCTTCCTCTTTCCAGCATTATTTTAGTCTGCTCACCCTGCCTATAATTCCTGCCTGGTTACTGGCCAATCAGTGTTTTATTAAACCAGTGTACAAGAGCACTATCCCACAGCATTTCCCCTTTTCTGTCTAATAAAAAGGAAGGTTTTACCTTTAACACAGTAAAATTACATATAATAGAATCATTATCAAGCAGGAATTACAGTTATAATATCTAGTCTATTTATATTTTGCAAAATTAAAGAAAATATTCTGTCTATCCTCTATTTGTGAGTCTAAGGTTTCATATCTACTTTATCTTTTATCATAACCAAAGAAAATTATAGCTATAACTATTTAGTCTTCAACTACATCAGAGACCCCAGAAGGATATAATATTACCTAAGCAAACAGGAAGTACATTGTAAGCAACTTCCAAAATTCTGAAAATGACAGGTGTAGGAGACCAGCCCCTACTATTATTTACCCCAGGAACTCTTGAGGATTGAGGGATAAGAGACTTAGTTAGAAATAAGGAGAGAGAGAAACGGAGAAAACAGGATAGACTCAGGTGGGCCTGGATCCTTATCCACTGGCCCAGAGCTTTGTTCAAAAAGCTATTTATAACAATGTCAAGGGGTGGAGCAAAAGACCTCCCCCTTGCTAGTTAGACTCTTACAAACACCCGGTACCCACGCTCATGGTCTAATCAACCTCTTATGCAGTCCTGCTGGGTACAGCCTCTAGGAAACCTAGTGGGCTCCAACAGGCAGGCAATCTGCTGCCTGTCTGGATAGTCATCCAAAGTTCCTCTGTAATGTTGGGACATCCTTCTTCAGCCTACAGGCCGAGAGTCTCTCAGTCTCTTCTCTCTGTGTCCTGTAGAATATCTGGCAATTTCTTCTGCAAAGTAGGAACCTGAAGGACCATCTCGCCTTGCAAAGTTCAGTGGTCACCGTCCTAGGGGTCCTGCACGTCCAGTTTATACAATATATTATCATCAGCCCAGGCAAGAGTAGCCTCTTGTCCAAATGGCTATTTTTTTCCAAGAAGAGGAAAAACTCTATATGGAATGTCTTCAATGCCCATCTTCCTCTTTGAAGTAATTGATGCTGCCAGGAGCAGATGTGTCTCATTGTCCAGAAAAGTCTTAAGTTTTTAAAACATTTTAAATGTCATATTCTGTAGGTCTTTGAAGTATTTGAAGATTACCTACCTAACTGAAATAAGTCTATATATGCCTAGAAAATTTAACATGACTATAAGTTTGATTATCATAGATGACTAATAATCTGCATTTCTCAATTATACATTGCAATTTTAAATGAGCTGCACAAATATAATATCTTAAACAAGAGTAGAAATATATATACACAGTATAACAAAATTAACTTTAAATTTGTAATAAACTGAAATCTATGGCAATATAAAACATTTTAAATAAGTTGTTGCTCTTTAAAAGTAGATTCAATAATCTACCCTTTCATCCTATCATATCTATAATATCTCCTTTTCTTCTTTAGAAAGAAATTACATTTATAATCAACCTCCTTTAAATAAAAATAAACATTTATAAACAATATTTTGGGAATTTGGGCATAGCTTCTCATACTACTTCCTGCTGGATAGGGCACTGGCAATCTAATGGGGGTCCTGAGAAAATTAAGAATTATGATCAAGTTCTGACTAGAGTAGACTGTGAAGCTGCATTGTCTGAGCCAGTTGCCTTGAAGCTGATTTTGGATGTTGATCATCTGGGCCATGGTGTCATTGGAGACCTTTCAGAGTGTCCTGGTTGATCAGGAACATATTAGCCTAGAAGCAATCCACAGATTCTCATCTTCTGTGGAAACAAAAGTAGAACCTCTTTTCCAAAGCAACGTATTCTTAGACACAAATTTGGAAGTCAAGATACCTTTAATATATATATTGGTTTAACTTAGCAGCCTTTACAATCAAATGTCTTTCTGCAGTTAGAAATCCCAAAGATAACACAATCCAGATTCTCTGTGTAATATCCATCTTTACATGGATTATTTTTATATTACTTTTACTGTCTCTTTAAAGACTTTATTTTTTTTAACTATTTCTTTATAAACTGTTTAGAGGTTCATTCCATCTGAATCTGTCTTATTGTGAATCTATTGCTTTAAACTGCAGTGTGGCTAGGACAGAAGTGGCAGCCTGGGCTGCTGACTCTGCCCATCTCAGCTTTTCAACATGGTGGGGGTTGTTGTCCCATTTACCCTGTCAACTCTGGGATCCATGCTGCCATGTAGTATGCAGCTAGTGCAGCTAGCCCATAAACCCTTTTTGTCTGTATGAGTAAAGTCTAAATCTACCATGCAGCATGCTGTGCAGTTAGGAGACAGCTCTGTGTACCCAGGCAGGAATCCACCATGCTGTTCTCAAGCCCACACACCATGAACCCACCATGGCCAGGGGAAATGTCACTATACTGTGGCCCACCATGAGCGACATGAGTTAGGAAGGTATTTTTTTTTTTTCTGAGACAGGGTTTCTCTGTGTTGTTTTGGTGCCTGTCCTGGATCTCACTCTGTACACCAGGCTGGCCTCGAACTCACAGAGATCCACCTGGCTCTGTCTCCTGAGTGTTGGGATTAAAGGCATGCACCACCACTGCCTGGCTAGGAAGGTGTTCTTAACTACATTTATAGTCTCTTCTTAAGCTCTCTCGGGTTTTAGGTGGAAACTCTTGCCACCACATCTGGGCACCATTTGTAGTTGGAAGGTTTCTCAGGGCCTGCCCAGCCCTGCATCCCACAGCCACTTATAAAGTAATCACTCAGAAGGGCAGAGTCAGGAGTCACCAGCCAGACACAGAGAAAGCAAGATGACAAGGCAGAACTGAGAAAAGGTACCAAGCCATGTGGCTAAACATAGGTAAGAATTATGGGTTAATTTAAGTGTAAGAGCTAGTCAGTAATAGGCCTGAGCTAATGGCTGAGCAGTTATAATTAATATAAGCTTCTGAGTGATTATTTTATAAGCAGGCTGCAGGGCTGGGCAGGACCTGAGAAAACTTCTGACCACAGAGGCCTCCAGGTAAGCAACACAGGGAAGTCCCTTTTAGTCAAAGCTCAAAGACAACAGTAGATAAAACATAAAAGCCTAATCAAAAGGCATATCTGGGCTTCAAACCTGTTGTCAGAAACCTAGGAAGGAAAAGAGCATCACTTGCCAGGTTTTCCAGGCACGGGGCCTCACTGGTCATAACTAGTCCTCAAGAGACCAGCAGGTATGGGACGGGGTGTAGGCAGACTTTTTTGTCCTGCCAACCAATTCCCAAATAATCATACAGAGACTTGTTATTAATTATAACTGCTTAGGTAATAGCCCAGGCTTGTTACTAACTAACTAGCTCTTATATTTTAAATTAGCCCATATTTCTTATCTATGCTCTGCCATGTGGTGGTACCTTTTTTTTTTTTCAACATGGCAAGTTCAGCTTGCTTCTCTCCAAATCTCAGGACTCCTGAGACTTCGTCCTTCTTCTTCTTCTTTGTGCTCTCTTCTTGTCCATTAGTCCTGCCTAACCTCTATCTGTCCAGTTATTGGCCAGTCAGCTCTTTTATTAACCAGTGAGAGCAATACATATTTACAGTATATAAAGATTATTGTTCCACAGCAGTGGTGGGGGTCCAGAACACCCAGGTAATAACTGTGAATTGGATTTTGTAGGCCCCACAACCATCACACACGGCAGGGTTGCATCTTAGGCGATGCTGAAGAGACCCAGCTCTGTGCCTCCTGTGAAGGGAGGATTATTTCCTCATGCTCTGCCCTTACAAAGCCTGGCCCACAGCCTGGCCAAGACCCCACTGAAGGGATTGCATGGACACAGTGGCTGTCTAGGAGTGGGGCTACCTTCCTGTGCCCACTCTCCTGAGTGGCACCCTACATGTCCCTGCTTCTTGGTCTTCCTTACCTTACAGCTGACCGTGAGTACATCCGGGACCTGAAAGAGAAACACTGCTATGTGGCACTGGACTATGACATGGAAATATCAAAAACCGCGGCGCCCTCCTGCCAGAAAAAATTCCAGTTGCCCGATGGCAAGGAAGTCAGCATGGGGCAGGAGGCTTTCATGTGCTCAGAGGCCCTCTTCAATACCAGCCTCATCGGTGAGTCCAGGATCGGGGGCGGGGGGCAGCGGGCCAGTGGGCACTCACATAGAATGCCATGGGTAAGGAGAGAGAGGTGCTGACTGGCATGTACTCCCCCCATCCCAGACACTCACAACATGAGCCATAGCTACATGACGTACCCATCATTCAAGGCTGGTGTGGGTTGCTTGCTTATATACAACAAAAGGCAAGTGAAAGCAGTTACTACTCAGTGGCACCTTCCAAGGCTAGCTGTGTGTTGGGACACTGCCCTACAGATGCCAACAAAACAGGTGATGCCAACCTCATCTGAGGCATGGGAGGTCAACTCTTGTCGATGATGGTGCTGGCAGGCCAGGCTTGTGACCTGCTTGAAGTCCACGGGCCTTGAGGTACTCGGTGGCACTTGGGGCCATCCAGAACCTGGGAGGTATCCCTCCTTACAATACTAAAACTGGGAACCTTTGATCCCAAAGCCCTCTTCTGCATTGTCCCCCAGGGAAAAGCAACCTGGGGATCCACATTCAGGCCCAGGAGAGCATCACATCCTGCGACCGCTCCTACTGGAAGACTCTTTTTAGTCATATCATGGTGTCTGGCGGCACCGGTGCCTTCTCAGGCCTACGACTCCGGCTGCAGAGAGAGATAACAAATCTGGCCTCTCCAGACCTCTGTGTGAAGGTATTGGCCTGAGCCTTAACCAGGGGCCTCAGGGGTCAACCCATGCATAGTTCTAGAGTGGCTTTTGGCTCCAGTCATTGTGCTTCCCATTTGAGGATGCACCAATAGCAAAAGTGGCAGAAGCCCCTGGCATTTACATCCTTTGGGGGGGGGGGGGGGGGGGGGGGGGGGGGGGGGGGGGGGGGGGGGGGGGGGGGGGGGGGGGGGGGTGGGGACAGTGACAACAAGCTAAGCTAGTGTAGCAGGAGTGGTAGATGGGAAGGATCTGTAGTCTGCATTGTGGACAGTGGCAGGCTGGGGTGCTCAACACAGAGAACATGTGCTTAGAAGGCACCAAAGTGAATACTTCAGAGGGGATGGGGAGCTATGGGGGGCCAGGAAGAGCATGTGGGCTTATTTTGTCTTTTATGTGAATTCGTGTGTGTATGCGTGTGGACACAGAGGCCTTGTCCAGCTCTCTTCATGGCTTCTGAATATCTGAATTCAGGTCCTCACACCTGAGCCCATCTCCCCCATCTTCTGGAACAGATTTCTGTAGCTAGAGTTTTCCTGCCTTACCCACAGTCAGGACAAATCTCTCTCACCCGCCAGTGCCACAGCTGCTCAGACCCAACCAAGTAAACACAGAGATTTATATTGCTTACAAACTGTATGGCCGTGGCAGGCTTCTTGCTAACTGTCCTTATAGCTTAAATTAATCCATTTCTATAAATCTATACCTTGCCACATGGCTCGTGGCTAACCGGCATTTTCACTTGCGGCTTCTCATGGTGGCAGCTGGCAGTGACTCCCTTTCCCTTCCTGTTCCCTTAATTCTCCTCTCTGTTAGTCCCGCCTATACTTCCTGCCTGGCCACTGGCCAATCAGTGTTTTATTTATACAAAACGATATCCACAGCAGCTCTCACTGTGTAGTCCTGGCTGGCCTGGGACTTGCTATGTAGACTAGCCTGTTCTAGGTCCTCCTGCCTCTGCCACCCGAGTGCTGGGATCACAAATATGTGCCACCAAGGCTTCAACATCTCCCAATTTAAAAAGTTATCTTTTCCACTGTGGAGAGATGACTACCCACAAGTTCTTCCAGGTATGGACACTCTGGGTCCCATTCAGAACTGATCATTTTTTTTTCAATGAATATCTTTTTAAAAGGTTTGTTTTTATTTTATGTGTACAAGTGCTTACTTCCATGTACGTGTGTGCACCGTGTGTGTGCAATGCCCATGGAGGCTAGAAAAGGGCGTAGGATCTCTGAAACGAGTTACAGACAGTTGTAAGTTGCCACGTGGGTGCTGGGAACTGAATCAGGTCCTTTGTAAGCACAGCAGATGCTTTTAACCATTCAGCCATTGTTCCAACTACAAAGGAATACTTTCTAAACAAAAAATTGTAATTGCACTTGTTTTCTTGTGTCTGTATGTGTGCATGCATCACAGTATGTGTGCTGAGGTCAGAGGACAACGGTGGAAGCCATTTTTTTCTTCTAGTATGTGGGTCCCAGGATTTGAACCAAGGTACAGGCTTGGTGGATCTTTATCCACTGAACCATCTAGCCAGCCGCAAGAACAGTTTTTTTAATCCTTATTTATTTGTGTATGTGTGTATGTGTGTGTGTGCATGTGCACACATGCTACTGCACATGTGTGGAGGTCAGAGGACCACTTGAAGGAGTCAGTTTTCTCTTTCTACCATGTGGGTCCTAGGGATTGAACAAAAATTGTCAGCCTTAGGGCAGCTGTGTTTGCTGAATAGCCTTCTCATCAGTCCAGAGTGGTATTTTGATGTGGATTTTCTTCCCCTCCCTCTAGGTGGCCATCTCTCCATATGCCAAGTACGGTGCCTGGGTAGGTGCCTCCATCTTGTGCTCTCTCCCTATGTTCAAGGACATGTGGGTCACAAGTCAGGAATATAGGGAAATTGGCCCTTCCGTCATGTGTAGAAGAAACCTCTGACTGGTGACTTTCAGGTTCCATCACCTGGGCCAACATCACCATGCCCAGGCTGAGCCTCAGCCTAACTGAGCAGGCCACAGTTAGAACAAGCTTACAGCAAGGCCCCTTTTCTCCTGGAAGACAGTAAAAGTATGCAACGGGGACTGATTCTGCCTGGTGTCTGGGTGGCCCCTGTAGCATCCCAGTATAACAGGTGCTGATTCTTCCTGTGTGGTGGTCAGGATAACTCAGTGATGCTGCATAACAAGCATCCCAGCTCCCAGTGCCACAAAGTGATTTGCCTATCACCCTGCTGCCTGCATCCTGAAGTAGGGGTCACTACCCTCACTTGAGACCTTCTGGTAAGGCAGGTACCATCTTTAGCATTCACTCATTGTGAATTTCCTAGTTCATTTTCTGTTGCTATAACAAAATGTCCTATACCTGATAATTTATAAAGAACAGAGGTTTATTTAGGGCACAGGTTCAGGAATATGACACCAGCCTCTATGAGGGTTTTGTGCCCTCATTAAAACAGTGTGGAGCACTGTGGACTGAGACAGCATCATGCAAGTTTAAGTCTCTTCCTCTTCTTATCAAGTCATTAATGCCATCAAGAGACCCCTTCCTTATGACTTCATTTAACCCCAGTCACCTTCCAAAGCCTCTAAATACCATTAACATATAGATTCGGGACATCTTAAACACCAGTGGCGGAAGTTAGGAGTCCTCTGCTGGGTCCCACTGGCAATCGGGACACGGTGGGTGTATATCACAATAGACACAAGTCATACAAGGCCCCACCCCAACCCCAAGAGGACAGGAAGGAGCAGAGTTAGATGGTACAGGGGCTGGAAAGGGGTTAACAGCGCACACTGTGCAAGGGGTCTCAACCCTTCAGGGGATGTAGTCCTCATGAGATTGTTGTGAGGCCCATTTTATTGGGTATGGCTATAGATGCAGAAACTGCAGCCAAGGTAGACTGGATCAAGGCTATAAAGGTCAACATAAGGACTTGAAATGAGTGAGTGGGAGCACTGGGGACTGATGCATATAAAGCAACCCCAGGCTGGATACCTGTCCCTGCCCCTCTTCAGCTGCAGCAGCTTCTGCTCAGCAGCTGCCCCTATACCTTGCCCAAGCAACACAGTAGAGGTGGCCCTGTGGGAGAACTAACCCCGAGAATGTGAAAGCCAGAGAACTGGCCCCGCCCCTTGCTCATTGCTGTAAGGCGTGAACTAGCCAAGGCAATGCAGAAGAGCTCCCCCTGGTGGTGAGGACAAGGGAGAACTGGTGGGCTGATCAATCTTGCAACTACCTAGACCCAGAACCAGGGTTGTGAGTTGGCTCACCCCAACATCCACCACATCTGCGATCTGCTGGAGCACATAAAGGGACCAGTCTTGCAGATCCAAAGCTGCAGGATCTCCATGACACAGGATATCCAAGAGGAGTCCCAGGGAGGGCCCAGCATCAATAGTGTAACAGAAACCAGAGGGCTCAAACCAGACCAAGACTGTTTGCAATGAACACTTGCAAGTAACGATATATGGATAAAAGGGTTTACTGTGTGACTCACTGTGTCACACTGCAGCTTCCATGGTGAGTTGAATTTTTTCCTTTTAATTTTTTTTTGGGGGGGCAGGGGGAGGTTACAAGGGTAGAGGGTAGATATGAAGAGATAAGGAAATGAATGAGATATAGATGCATGATATGAGATACCTGCCTCCAGGCTGTGTCCCCATCCCTGCCAGCCACTGGACACTGTCCTGCCAAGACCCACTCTACTGCCCAACCCCAAGCACCTGAGCATGTGGTGATATTGTGTTCCCCAAAATATCATGTACCTTAATAAACTTATCTGGGGTCAAAGAACAGAAAAGCTACTAGTTAGGCAGTGATAGCACACACCTTTAATTCTAGCATTCCAGAGATAGAAATCCTTCTGGATCTCTGTGAGTTCAAGGCCACATTGGAAAAAGCCAAGAATGGTGACTCACACCTTTAATCCCAAAGAGTGGTGGTAGAAAGCAGAAAGATATATAAGGCGCGAGGACCAGAAACTAGGGGCATTCAGCTGGTTAAGCTTTCAGGCTTTGAAGCAGCACAGTTCAGCTGAGATTCATTCTGGATGAGGACACAGAGGCTTCCAGTCTGAGGAAACAAGACCAGCTGAGGAACTGGTGAGGTGAGATAGCTGTGGCTTGTTCTGTCTCTCTGACCTTCCAGTATTCACCCCAATAACTGGCCTCGGGTTTGATTTTATTAATAAGAACTTTTAAGAATCCTGCTACATGAGCATCCTCCCTGTGGCCAGCCCTCACCTGCAACCCCAGCAGACTACGCAGGTACAGATGCAAACCACACCAGTTGGAAAAACAGGTGAGTGACTGGCCTCTCGGTTGGACTGCCCCAAAGTCCAGACTCTAACTAAATTAAACCCTAGGACACATTCTGTGCCCCCCCCCCACATCCCAACACCAGCAAGAGAGTGGGACCCTGTCCCCACCTCTGGTGGAACTCCATTGCTCTGCTGTAGTCCCCACCAGTCTGCAAGCAGGTGAGATACCTGCCTCCAGGCTGCACCCCTCCCTGCCACCCACTGGACACTGTCCCACCAAGACCCACTCTGCCACCCAACCCCAAGCACCTGAACATCCTCTCTATGGTCAATCCTCCCCTGTAACCCCAGCAAACTACATAGGCACAGGTGTAAACCACAACAGTTGGAAAACAGCAGACTTCATAGGCACAAGTGCAAACCACAACAGTTAGAAGAACAGGCACAGGCATAAGCCACACCAGTTGGAAGAAAAGATGAGTAAACACCAGTGGTGTAAGATATATTCAACAGGCCAGGCGGTGGTGGCATACACCTTTAATCCCAGCGCTTGGGAGGCAGAGGCAGGCAGATCTCCATGAGTTTGAGGCCAGCCTGGGCTACAGAGTGAGTTCCAGGAAAGGTGCAAAGCTACACAAGGAAACCCTGTCTTGACAAACCAAAAAAAAAGGAGCAATATGGATGCCACCACCAGAACCCAATGATCCTACAGCAGCAAATCCTCAACATTCCAATTCAACTGAAATACAAGAAAACCAACTTAAAAATTATCTTATGAAGATGATAGAGGATCTTAAAGAGGAAATGAAAATTTCCCTTTAAAAAGTCAAGCAAAAGACAAACAAAAAAATTGAAAGTAATCAATAAATCTCTTAAAGCAAAGAAAGCCAAGAAAAAGCAATCAAACAGGTGAAGGAAACAGTTCAAGACTGGAAAACTGAAATAGAAGCAATAAAGAAAACACAAACCGAGGAAATTCTGGAAATGAAAAATCTGAGGAACTGAATGGGAACTACAGATGCAAGTGTCACCAACAGAATACAAGAGATGAATGAAGAGAGAATCTCAGGCATTGAAGATACAATAGAGGAAACAGATTTATCAGTCAAAGAAAATGTTAGATCCAATAAATTCCTAACATAAAACATCCAGGAAATCTGGGACAGTATGAAAAGACCAATCTAAGAATAATAGCAATAGAAGAAGAAGAATCCTAGCTCAAAGGCACAGAAAACATATTCAATAAAATCATAGAAGAAAACTTTCCCAACCTAAAGAAGGGCATGCCTATGAAGATACAAGAAGCTTACAGAACACCAAATAGGCTGGACTAAAAAAAAGTCCCTTTGTCACATGATAATTGTAACACTAAATACACAGAATAAAGAAAGAATGCAAAGGAAAAAGGCCAAGTACTGTATAAAGGCAGCCCTATCAGAATTACACCCAACTAATCAATGGAGACTCTAAAAGCTGCAAGGTCCTGGATAGATGTTTTACAAACACTAAGGGACCATGGATACCAGCCCAGACTACTATACCCAGCAAAACTTTCAATCAGCAGAGATGGAGAAAACAAGATACTTCATGATAAAACAAGATTTAAACAATATCTACCCACAAATCCAGCACTACAGAAACTACTAGAAGGAAAACTCCAACCCAAGGAACTCAATTACATCCACAAAAGCACAGGCAATAGATGATCTCATAATAGCAAAAACCAAAGAAGGGAAACACATACTACTATTACCACCACCAAACCCAAAAAATAACAGGAATTAACAGCCACTGGTCATTAATATCCCTTAATATAAATGGACTCAATTCACCTTTAAAAAGACACAGGTTAACAAAATGGATATGAAAACAGGATTCATCTTTCTGCTGCACACAAGAAACACACCTCAACTTCAAAGACATTACCTCAGAGTAAAGGGTTGGGAAAAAAATTTCCAATCAAATGGACATAAGAAGCAAGCCAGTATAGCTATCCTTATATCTAACAAAGCAGACTTTAAACTAAAATCAATCAGAAGAGATAGAGAGACATTTCACATTCATCAACGGAAAAATTCATCAAGATGAAGTCTCAATTCTGCACATTTATGCCCCAAATACAAGGGCACCCACATTTGTAAAATAAACGTTACTGAAGCTTAAATCACACATCAAACCACACACATTAATAGTGGGAGATTTCAATGTCTCACCAATGGACAGGTCTGCCAGACAGAAACTTAACAGAGAAACAAGGGAACTAACAGATTTTTATGACTCAAATGGACTTAATAGACATCTACAAAACATTTTACCCAAGCACAAAGGAATATACCTTCTTCTCAGCACTTCATGTAGCCTTCTCTAAAATTGACCACATACTCAGTTATAAAGCAAATATCAATAGATACAAAAAATTGGAATAACCCCTTGTGTCTTATTGGAACACCATGGGCTAAAGTTAGAGTTCAACAACAAAAACTACAGAAAGCCTACAATCTCATGGAAACTGAGCAATGCTCAACTGAACCACCTCTGGGTCAAGGAAGAAATAAAGAAATGAGAGACTTGCTAGAATTCAATGAAAGTGAATCCACAACATACTCAGACTTATGGAATACAATGAAAGCAGTGCTAAGAGGAAAATTCATGGCACTAAGTGCCACATAAAGAATTTGGAGAAATCTCACACAAATGACTTAACAGCACACCTGAAAACCTTAAAACAAAAAGAAGCAAACTCATCCAGGAGGAGCAGACAATAGGAAATAATCAAACTCAGGGCTGAAATCAGTAAAATTGAAACAGAACAATACAAAGA